AAGTTATGGAACTCTGAGCCGGAAAAGCCATACCCCGCAAAAAAAAAAGGATTCAAGGGTGGAACTAAACACCATAGTCTTTGAGTTTGAGTGAAAAGCTGTCGGAGAGATCCCCTGCACTGCTTTCGAAACATAGCAGCATTGCCAAGTTCCATAAACTGCGGAGACATCAAAAACTATAGACCTCTGCCCTCTGCCAAAAGCTGAAGAAGAGACCCGGGATCTGAATCTCCTCTCTGCACTCTTCTTGGTGGGTATTCCACAGCTCGGGAACATGTAAACTGCACGGTCTCAGCCTAGGGTTGAACTCCCCTAATTAAACCCTAAACCCTATATTGCATCTAAACCCAAAACTTTCTGTAAAGCCCTGAACCCTATACATAAATCCTAAATTCCTGAGACGGCGGCGGAACTTCAGCGGATTCTGAGTGCGCACTTCCCCAGCCAGCCTCGGCGTGAGCTGATACTTAACCTATAATAATCAAACTTAACCTTTGGTATATCTTACTTATACTACAGTATCCGACATATATACCCTAACATGCTGTCAAATACTATCGTGCAAGATCTTACTAGACTTGTGCTACAATATCATATATGAAGCCTACAAGCTGCCCGGAGTCAGGGAAAGTCAGGACCCCCAAACGGGACACTGACATGGAACAACATGCACATCGATCTACATGCGGGTACTTCTCTAAGATAGCCCGGGTCCTTTTGGGGTCCTTTTTATGCCGTGCTATATTGGGGACCTAAAAGGGGACCCTAGTTTAGAGAACTACAATGCTTCAGGAATCAACATTCCGCTCTGTTAACCTCGGCGGTGAGCGTGTAAGTTGTTCTATCTTCCGAGCAGGTATCCATGCGGAGGGCTTCTGCCAGACCAACAGGCTGTCTGACTGTAGCCACTGGCAGACATTGACGGCTAAACCCTAAACCCTAAACCCTAAACCCTAAACCCTAAACCCTAACATGACAGGACGGACATACCGAGGAAACCCGATGTTGCATTGACAAAGAGGTGCAGCAAATACACGCCTGTCCACTCATCTCTCGGGAAAACGAACCATTCCTGTCGCAGAAGAACCTAAACCCTAAACCCTAAACCCTAAACCCTAAAACAAGCCTGCCACCAGTAATTAGAGCAACATCCGAGACACAACCTCACAAAGGTAGATAGATCGAGAGACAGATAGACAGACAAACGGATAGAAAGATAGATACATGGGTAGTTCTATAAATTAGGGTCCCCCTTTTATGTCCCCAATATAGTACGGCACTCCTATTAAAAGGATCCTAAAAGGTACCATAATATAGAAAACTACCCAGATGGATCTTCAGGCTCGCACGTTCGATCCCGAGCCGTGGTAATGGGTGTGACACCTTGCAACGGTTCGGCTGCAAATTGTGGGTTCAATACAGTGTTTAGAGTATCTGGTTTAGGGGTAATTCTTCCTGACATGCCCTTCCAGTCCTCTAAACATGCACTATAGTCACTACGTAACATACCCTGAAGCCTGAAGAAGGAGTTGTTCAGGACCCTTACTTCTGGGTCCTCGGCCTGAAACTAAGCTTGCGGAACTACTGCTTCCGATTGCTAAGGTCCTGTGGCTTTGCGAAACAGCGAAACATCACACCTAATGGTGGCAGTGGTGTGAGAGAAGGTCTGACAGCACAGTGCAGGTAGCGGGCAGAGTGTGCAACCACGGGGGAGTTCATCCAGAAGACCAGTTCTAATCATTTCTAATCAGCTTGATCGTGGCACTGCATACGAGGCAACTGGAGACTCCTGCTGCTGTCATGATGCTGAGGAGGATAATGAGGGAGGGTGAAGATGAGGATGATGATTATGTGATAAATGTGAAGGCGGTGAACTGCATTCATGGCTAACCCTCATGGGGCTACGGTTTTACGGCCTTCCGACGAAACCTTGGTCTTGCACGGCACTCTGAAGCTCCCAACACCATACATCCCTAACCCGAAACAGTGCTACCCCAAAGCCTCCTGTCTTTGAATTAGCTGCTTCTGGCCTCTATTTCTGCGGTAGAAGACAGCTATCTTGTTATATGCCTGCATGCCCCTACAGCTGCTTGTGGCATTTCCGATGCACAAGCATAGTCTTGAATACCACCATCAAGTCTTCGAGGCAAAGACCAGTCTGTGTGAAGGCCCACAACCTTCAGTTGACAGGGCGGAAGAAGTCTGCCCATGGTTCCAAGCAGAATTCAAGCATTTAAGATCTGCAGCGGCAAGTGGGGACGCATGACATTGGAGGTTCTGGAAGACGAAGGACAACCCCTCAACCCTAAACCCACTAATGGGCATTCACTACCACCGTTGCTCAACAGCATTAGGAGTGAGGCGAATAGGAATCACAGTGATGGCAGTGCTAACAACACAATAGATGCACCCGAACCGTTGTACTACAGCAACAGCGCCCACTAACTGATAACTAAGAAGGTATGTGATCTAGACCAAGCTAACCCCCAAGCCCTAAACTCAAAGAGACAGCATTCAAGAAGTGACATTAGCACTGCTCAATGCTCCACGGATTTCCGGCTGGGGCGTAAAACCTCTGATCTGTGGATGGCTCTGCCCTTCGTGTGCATGCTGCGAAGTTCTTGCTCTAACCCTAAACCCGAAACCCAAAGCACGAGACCCAACTCTTGCAAGCCCCAGACCTAAGTCTAACGACTTCGAATCCCGGCCCCAAGCAGGCCCTAGACCTGTCTCGAGAATCGAGAACAAAGCGACCCCCACATTCAACCACCAAGAAGCCGAGCACTAAACACTCTGTAAGAAGTTCATAATAGAATGGTAATCCGGACTCCCACTCCTCGAAACTTCGCTCAATCTTCCGTGCTCCACTAGAAACCTTAAACACTTAGCCCGCGACCCCAAAACCATACACTCTAGCCTTCACTACTCCAAGCCTTTCTGGCCTGGAGTTTTTAGGGCCTATGGGTTTAGTCACTTGGAGGCCCTAACCCGTAGCACTAGACCGCGTTACCCTAGCCCTCCTGGGTGCCAGGCGTCATGCCCTCGATAGGCTCAGATGCTTCACTCCCGAGCTGCACGACCCACCCTGGCTCAGAGACTTTACGGGCTTGGGTTTAGGGTTTAGGGTTTAGGGGTTTAGGGTTTAGGATTTAGGGGTTTAGGGGTTTAGGGTTTAGGGGTTTGAGGGTTTGGGGATTTACTGCTTTGTGGGGGGTGGGGGATATGGTTTTCTAAGGTTCAGGGTTGAGGATTTAGGATGCTTGGTTGGACCTGAATACGCAATCACTCGACCAGGGTTTTGGCTGGATTTAGGCCAAAACAACGCAGGGAGGATGGCACCCATCTGTTTTAAGAACATAATATGTTGCGCCTGCCATATACCTCAGAACGCAGACGCAAACTAGGAGTCAAATGCAAATCAAACGACTGCTGCTTCTGCAATCTTCTGCGAGGTTTTGACTCGATAGTCTAGTGACCCTAAACTTAAAAAACCCCATAGATCCTACAGCATCATAAACAAACTATGCTTCGAAAATTGAACCCCGAACTCTCCAAGCCCGAAACCCCGAAGCGCCAATCCAAAACCCCCCAACACCCAGAACTTCACCTTGAGTACACAAGCGTGACGGTTGGACGATTCACCTCCGGCGTCACCATTGGGTTCGATTTGATCCTGGAAACAAGCCGAAAGATAGGGACCCAGGGTTCACTTAAGACGTGGGTTCTGAGTACAGGCTCGGAGTTTATAAGGGCTCGCACAGAGGAACGGTAGAAAGTTCATGCAAGACGCGATCGCCTCGCTACCCTTCGAAAGTGAACAAACGGTTCCGAACCACCAACCGACCCCCTTTCAGCGCACCCGATGCGGAAGATGTACAGCTGGTTGGCAATCAGCCGCGCCCTGAGTCAGTGCTGGGGCTGGGATTTAAGGCTTAGGGGTTTATTTGGTAAGCAATTCTCACGAGAACAACTTGCCACACGCCAATACCTGTTCCTGTTCAAAGCACAGGACAATGGCGGAGTATGTGCATTTATGCACGTAGCAACAAGGGCAGTCATCTACGGTACTTGAGCCTACGCACATCTGCATGCATGGCATACAAACCGACGGACCGACCGACCGACCGACGGACAGACAGACCGACAGACAGACAAACTGACAGACAGGCAGGCAGACGGGACAGATGAGACAGGAATGCATGCATGCAAGCATGAATGCATACATGCCTACAGCACCTACATCCACAAGTCCATTGATGAGTTGATACCCACCCCACCAACCCACGATCACGGCTAGTACCCTGAAAAGGCGGAAGTCTCAACAGAAACTAAAGACTTCAAGAGGTTTTGGGGTTTGGGGTTTAGGCTTTGGGGTTTTGGGGTTTAGGGAATAGGGTTTAGCGACTAACATCCAGCTAAAGCTGCAGAACTGATGGTCCCTGCGCCTTGTGCAGGGGCCTGCATTACGGAAAGTACCGGAATCAGAAAAACATCCCAGTGAGATGTGGGTTGGAGTGTGGGACTCAGCGCCCGGCCCCGTCGCAAACTGCAGCCACAGGGAGGCCATGCGATCCACACCCCGACCTGGGATCTAAGGCAAGAGACTTAGGCCTCGAAACCCCAGGGCATCAGGATTGGTTTGTGGAGCAATGCATGTCAGCCTTGAACTTGGCGTTTGGGCTAACAACAGTCAACAAAAGCGGGGTATCAACAAACTGAGTACGGACAACACACAGATTTAGATGCAGGTGTGTATATACATGTGCATCACGTAGATGTTCGTAAGAGCATGATAACGTGAAAACCATAAACTTAGATTCCCATCCCTACGGATGAACTGCGCTCTGCACACAGGTATTGGGAGCCACGCACTCACCTTCGAATGCTTTTCCAACATCCATAAAGAATAGAATAGAACAGGATAGAATAGAGCAGAATATATTATCTAAAATATAAGGTAGCACCGTACTATTTCATAACACAGCATAGTATGATATGATAACATAGCACCCTAAACCGTTCATTCACCCGAATGCCCTTCCCCTAGCAAGTCCCGACTACTCCCCGAAACCCTGACACTCGATACCTTGGGGATTGAGGGCGACTAATTACGATGAGGGGCTATAGTGACTATAAGGGTTAGTATCAGGGCTACTAACAGGGCTACCAGAAGGGTTGCTAGAAGGGTGGCTACAAGGGTTACTACGAAGGTTACTCACTATAAGGCTACAACCCAGATGCTCAATCCGAAGTCCCATCCTTAAATTCTGCACGCACCCTGTGCCGGGAGCCGGGCAAGTACTGATTGCAACGTCGCTTGGCCACACCGCAAACTCCTTTTTAGAATCTTCGAAAGGACAGAATATGGTATGCAAGCTACGGGTACCTGTTATTCATTCATACTCATGATCGCTGATCTGGTGCAGCCTGTACCACTCTCTGCGTTTCAGGGATACCATGGCCAGATGAGGCCCGCAGCTTCGCGAATCCTGTGCCCACACAACACCAACACCTAAACCACATGGCGTTTAGAGTCCATGGCTTTTTGCTGGGAGCATTTTGGGCTTAAGAAAGTTTGGGACGATCCGGCCAAGCCAAAGCCAAAAACCCAGGGCCAAATCCAACGATGGCGAGAAGAATAACAACTGATTGCGATATATTGGTATGACATTTGGAAAAAAGACACCAGACGAACCATCTGAATAATCCAACAAACATCTACGACGCGCTATCCAAAAAGGCATGCCTCGACTCTGGCTCCCTACCCTTAAGCCTCTGCCCTAACTACCCTTACAGAATCTTCAAAGCGCCTGTGTAACACCCTATAACCCTACCCATAGCCCCATAGCAGTTCCTTTTTGGGATTCCCTAATAGGATTCTAGATGTGAGCCCCAAAAAGGAACTACTTTAGGGCCTATGGGTAAACCCTAAACCCTAAACCCTAAAACTCTTCCAGACCCAAGAACCCGCAGTCCTCCGGGAAGCGCACTTTGGGGCCGAAAGTAGCGCTTTCGGAGACTTCGACAAACTGCAGACACTCCTCCGAACCGGGATGGGAGGGTTTGCGGTAGGCGGCTTAGGGTAGTAATGTAGGAGCCTTCATAATTAGAATAGGGTGTTGGGGCATATTATAATGTAGTTATAACAAGGAACTCCAAAATCTTATAGGTGATTATTAAGGACCCCTTAGGTAGGTTGTCTAGAACGGTTTAGGGCTTAGGGTTATAGGTTCAGTCCAAGGTGCACAGAGTAGGATGGGGATACTCTACAGACTTCACATGCTGATCCTGAGCAATGGGTTCGGTCATGATTGTTGTCTTGCTATACTATTGTCGTGGCTGTCGTAACTTGACATGACTACTGTTTCAAAGGCTCTGGGCTAGGAAACCGGTGTTGACGAGAACACCTGAATGACATCCTGTGACATCCTGAATGTGGCTGTTCAGCCGCGCAATCATAGTCTACAAGACAAGCTTCAAGCACACACAAGCTGACTAACATGCGGATCGTGCTGATCGACCCCGACAGTTAGCTTGTTGCCCGTGGTCGTGGTAAATAGGACTGTGACGATCGGAATGGTGTTGTCGATGGTCGTGTATGACACTTCCGGTTGTTACTCTTGCCGGTCTAGTTGCTACCGCTGTCATCAAGTGTCCGTACGAGCCCTGCGACCTTGATCATGTTGAGGGGATTCGGTCATCACGGGCATGATGGTGCTGGTGGCGATGGCTATGAGTGTGGCAATGGTATCCACTCTCTAGATCATCATCCTGCTCGTGATCCTGAATGCGATGGCGAAGAAGATAAGAGTGATGCTCCTGCCGCCGGTGCTTGTTCCCCTACTGATGATGACCGAAATGAGTATTGATGAGGAAAAATTCCCGCATGAAAGGTAGATCTCACGGGCCTCCTCGAAGGTGAAGCCGTACGGAGCACGGACGGTCATGTAACCGTCGAGGAAAGCATCTTGACCTTTTCGACGACTCGGATGCTGCAACAATGATAGTTCGATCATAACACTGCCACAATACTAGGAATCATGCTATAATTATGCTACTACAACACTACTACAAGAATACGATAGTCGTACTGTCATGCTACTTGACCTTCAAACTTCACACCATAGGCCAAACTTTCCAACCTGTGGCTTGCACTTCAAGACAGCTGCAAAACCCAGTAAAGCTTGAATTCGACGGGATCTTTGAGAAAAGGAAGTCAGGCAATGTCTCAGTAGGGTTTATAGGGTATAGGGAGTCTCCCCTAAACCCTGCACCCTGTTTCTTTTTTTCATGGAATACCATGGAACCCTAAACGCTAGGCCCTAAACCCTGTTTCTTTTTAATCATGGAACCGTCTGCCTTGATCTTGAAATGATCGGCCTTGCAGGGCAAACGGGCAGCACGCACAGGCATGCTCAAAAGTGGCCCCGTAACTCAAGTTGTGACGAGAGGGCTTCACGTGCGCGTAATCAGACTACCTCATTAATTAAAAGAAACGCATATAAAGGAGGTCAGCCGCGGTCTGGTCGATCTATCAGATCGCCACGACGCTTTCTGATGGAATGGATGTGCTGTTGATGTACTTCACATGCAGCTGGTTGATCTTGCCATTGAACTTGAAGGGAGAACGGTCGTGGTAAAGCAATGAGACAGGCGAACCCAAGTCCATCCCGACGTCAAAAGTCTCCGAAGCATCGAAAGCCAAACGGATCGACTTTTCCACGAAGAGGGAGGCCACCAAAGCTCCGTTAACTGACATGGTCAACTGTGCTGGTGCAATCCCCGGTTTCGGTTCGAACTGCAGCTTGATCTCAATCTTCGCGTTCCCCTCCTGCAATGGCGCAGAGGACTTTGTGACGTAGCGGTACAGCAACGTTGACAAGTACTCTGCGTAGAGATATCCCTTGTCCATGTACACGGAGAACCCTCCCGCAGTGCCGCCGACGCAGTACAAGACCCCGGAAGCATTCTTGGGAACCTCTATATCCACGGTAGCCACTGAGCTGAAACCGGTGTGGAAGAGTGGAGCATTGGCCTCTGCGATGCGTGTCATGCCCTCGTAGAGATACCACTCCGTCAAAGGCGATCTGGGACCCTCTTCCGGGTGGTAGTAGATGGTCCACAAGCCTGCACCGACAGGAAGCACCTTGTTCTTCTGGGCCTCGACGAGGAAAATGTTCTTCATCTTATTCACCTGCTCCGGATTCTCCTTGGAGAGGTCGTGGGCCTGTGAGTAGTCCTTGGTCAGGTCGTAGAGCTCCCAAATGTCGGTGTCCGGGTTCCACTCCCTCATGCGCGTCTCGTTGACAGCAGCCCAAGGGATTCGAGGCCCAAAGACACTGGCGAACCAACCGTCCTTGTAAACGCCCCGGCTTCCCATGACCTCAAAGTACTGCGTATCCTTCCGTCCCACTGCCGAGGCGTTGTTCCAGGTATACATCATGGAGACACCGTCAATGGGAATCTGGGCTGTGCCCTCCACATGCTCTGGCGGCTTGATCCCAATCGCCTCGTAGATGGTGGGCACGATGTCGCTGACATGGTGGAACTGGGACCGAGGAGTCGGGTCATGCTTGATGACTTTCGGCCAGGACATCACCATGGGGGTCCGGGTGCCACCGAAGTGGGCCGCCACCAGCTTGGTGCTCTTGAAGGGCGTGTCGAGAGCCCATGCCCATGAGCTGTGGTACATGTTGTCCACGTGCTTAGAGCCGAGTGCACTCAAACCACCAAAATCCCTATCCAAAACATCGATCTGCTGCTGCGCCGTGCTGGGCAGCATGTTCTCAGTGATGAACTCGTCAATCGTGCCCTGCTGCCCTTCAGCAGAAGCACCATTATCTCCCAGAATGTAGATCACCAAGGTGTTGTTGAACAAGCCTTGGCGCTCCAACTCTTCGATGACCTTGCCATCCTGCGTGTCGGTATGCTCGAGGAAGCCGGCATAGACCTCAACGAGCCGCAGCTGGAAAGCACGATCTTTGTCCGGGATGTCCTCCCACTTCGTCATGGTTGGGTCCATCTCGGTCAGCTCCGTCGTACTGGGGATCCATCCCATCGACTTCTGCTTCTCGAAAGTGATGTTGCGGAGCTTGTGCCAGCCCATGTCGAACCTGGGTTCTTGCTAAGGACTCCAATTTCACTTACCATAAGAGGGATCTATGGTAAACAGTATGGGTTGTTTTGTTGGGGTAACTTGAGCTTAAACATGCCTTGACAAGAACCGAGTAACTTGCCCTTGTACTTGTCGGCCCACTCCTTGTGCACGTGGTGGGGACCATGAGTGCCGCCCGGGGCGAAGTAGATGAAGAAAGGCCTATCCGGCGTCAGCGCCCGGTTGTTGCGGATGAACTTGATGGCTTGGTCAGCGAGGTCCTCGGTGAGGTGATAGCCCTCTTCGGGAGTGTAGGGAGGCTCAATTGGGTTGGTGTTCTCGAAGAGCCTTGGCTCGTACTGCGACGTCTCACCAGCCAAGAAGCCGTAGAAGTAGCTGAAACCGAGGCCTGTGGGATACTGGTCGAAGGGCCCCGTCTTGAAAAGACTGTCCACTGGGGTGTTGTGCCACTTTCCAAAGGCCGCCGTGTCATAGCCGTAACCCGTCAAGACCTTCGCCACCGTCGCCGCAGACTTTGGAATCGTCCCGGTGTAGCCCGGGAAGCCTGCTGCGGCCTCAGTGATCTGCCCCGCACCGATGTTGTGGGAGTTCCGGCCCGTCAGCACAGAAGCGCGGGTGGGCGAACAAATGGCTGTAGTGTGGAACCGGTTGTAGGCCACACCCCGTGATGCGATCTTTGAGAGGGTCGGTGTGTGGATCGGGCCTCCGAAGGTATCAGGTGCTCCGAATCCCACATCGTCGTTCATGATCACCACGATGTTTGGGGCATCCTTCTGAAGCGTCTTCCGCTTAGCCGGCCAACTGTTCTTGGAGTCGGCGAGAGTTGGACCCACCACAGCCTCAGAGGGCATCGGTGGGAAGGGCAGATCCGGTCCGGGGAACTGCGCCTCGGCGCCAAATAGCAGGCCCAGCGTTGGTACAAGGATTCTCTGCATGGCTGGGTTCGTAGGGCTAGGGGAAGACGTCACGCTTTGTGCGTGAGAGGGTGCTGACTGTGCCTTGGGCCAGCAGCGAGGCACTGTAAAGTATGGGGCTGACAGCACTTTGCCACTGGGCTCTTCTGAACCCCTAAACCCTAATCCCTAAACCCTAGACCCTAAACCCTAATCCCTAAACTCAAAACCGTCTCAACCTAACGGGCTTGCGAGATGCTTATGGGAAGCCTGTAACAAAGCCGAGCGACTCAGCTTGATGGCGAAGATCAAGCTGTTCGGTTGCCTTGGCAGCTCGCTCGGGGCATGTAGGATTTAGGGTGGTTTAGGCTTTGGGGTTAGGGTTGAGGGGTACACGTCGGGCGAGTACACCCTCACGGCAGACCGCCCAACCACCCCCACATTTTCCCTGCATTACATGTGAACATGCAAAAACAGATAGAGTGCTCGAGCTTCGTGGTGGCAGTGCAAGAGGATGACGAGCAGGGCACTGCTAGCAGCTGGCACTCAGCAGAACAAACGGCCTCAGTTCACCTCATGTCACTTTCATCAACGGTGCAGCTTCGTTTTAGTCAGGTGTAAGCCCCCAGGACATCCGAAGTGCTGCTGAAAAGTGCATGCTGGATAACAACTTCCAACTTCGGCAAGTCTTCTGCAACTGCTCGCCTGGTCCCTTTAATTTAGGCTGCCCTCCCGTCACTTGCGAACTCAGGTGATGCTAGATTCCAGGTAGGCCTACGCGACGATAATCTTCAGACCCTAAACACTAAAGTCTACTAGAGCCTCCGTTTGGAAAGCTGTCGGCACGAGCCATGCTCGGGCAGGTGTCCATGATCGTGACAAAGAAGATCGGAAGAAAATCACAATATCCGCGACGTCTGCCTGTTGTGTGGATAGCCTGCTGTACCGGCAAAAGCTCAAAGCACACATAC